GTCGACCCTCAGAACTTAGGGGGGCTAATAACCATAGTCGTCGACCCTCAGAACTTAGGAGGGCTAATAACCATAGTCGTCGACCCTCAGAACTTAGGAAGGGCTAATAACCATAGTCGTCGACCCTCAGAACTTAGGGGGGTCTAATAACCATAGTCGTCGAGCACTCTAATTGTAGATTATCACAATGTTTATGTTATCGTTGTTGTTACATAGTATCTAAATAAAAATATTAACGAAGCCAATTACAAAAATACTGTGTTTATATATTATTATGATAGACCCTTTACAGACCTTGTTAAGTTACTGCTGTCTCTTTTTAATGATATTTTTTTAGATATCTGATAACCTCATTCTTTATGTATATACATGATTCGTTTTTAAATGGTTTTGTTTGTTTGTTTCAGAGCAAAGCCATATTGGGTTACCTGCCATGTCCATTGAGGAGGAATCGAATCCCATAATTTAACGGTGAAATTTTGTAAACTTACCTCTGTCTCACCAAGGAACTTTTAAAGGCAAACACAGGAAAGTTTAGCATACGTAATTTTATTTCAACAGGTAATTTAATGATTATCATACAGCATCGGTACTGAAATACAACAGAAGTTTCAAAAGAAATATTACATAGTTACAGTTTCAATTTCAAATTAAAACAACAACATTTTGGAGGCATAAATATAAATTGATTATGAAAAAAAAGTGTATTATAGACTGTTCACCAATCAAAATTAATATTTAAAGACCCCCTCAGCTCTTGACGTAGTTAAATTTCAGAATTCTAGTCACATCTTTCATTGTCATATCTCATCATGTAAACTTGACTAGCCTATCAACGAATGTACAGTAGCAAACTTACAAACATCGAACTCAGAATACGTTTTGTCAGTTTTTAACAGAAGATTGAGCTTAAATATTCTCTGAATTATCATGACGTTACATTATTTTTAGCAGATCACAAATTCAAAGAACCATCTCAACGATACAAGTAGTACCCAAACTGATATTATTACTGCACCTTGCAAATAATAAAATGCATAATTCAAGAACAGATGCTGGTACGAATGACTGCATCAGTAGTCACGTTTTTTTTTAGAACGTAAATTCTTTACATTTTGAAACTTTTATAAAATTTGACATATATGTGTTTATAAATGCATATAAATGTGCATATTTGTAAGTTTTTCGTAACGTTATTGAAATGGAAATATTAATAGTACACTTTAAGGGGAATGCCTCGACCAAAAAAAAAAAGAAAGAAAGAAAAGATATTAAAAATTGGTTCCATCTGCCAGTTCGTAAATATATATATCAAAAATTTCTGTGATCATTCAATTTTTTAAAGATATTATGGCCTATGCTAGCATTACAATAGTATTCCAAAAGTATATATCATCTGTTCCAAATGTTTATCTTGGTTTGCATGCAACAGAATATTGAATTAGCTATTATTTCGTTTCAACTAACCACGCTGTCAGTTCAGGAATATCTGGAAAACAGGAAACACGTGTTACCATAAATATTTAAATACAGTTCTCTAGACACTATCTAACTTAATGATGTACTGTATTCTTTATTTATATGAAGAAATAAATTGCCCTAAAATTTGGAAAATTAACAAGATAAACAAACGACTATTGTTAAATTTTCTTATACAACATTGAAGAAATTCAATGTTTCTCCTTTCTTCTCTTGTAATGAGTTTCTAAAAACGCATCAACTACTTCTGGTAACTTAGGATCGAGACTCAGCCACCGATGTCCACATTCGTAGGAACCGGTTTCGTCAATACCTACAAACTGAACCGAAGACTTGAGATGATCGGATTTGTTCTCCTGAATTTTCTGATAGAATTTTTCTCCAGCACTGAGTGGAACCAACTTGTCGGAATGGGAATGAAGAATAAGAATAGGAGATTTTACAATTCCAGTCTGGTCTTCTGGGTTGAGAAACGTGTCTTCATGTCTTAATGCTTCTAGTATAAGGGTTTCAAAATAAGGTAGGAAACGTAGGAAGAAAAATGCCGGGTGGGTTACAATGACATCGTTAAGGGAATTGAAAGAAGCTTCTAGAACAATTCCGGCAGGATATTCTTTGTTTTTAGACAATTCCTCAGTGAGACGAAGTCCTACAGCTGCGCCTACAAAATGGCCCCAGATAATGATGCGTTCTTTGCCAACAAATTTGCGAATCCACTGATATACAGCTTTACTATCATTGATCATTCCAACTGTGGTGGTGGTTCCAGAAGAATCGCCAAACCCACCATAATCGAAGGTCACCACATGTCCATCCACATGACTCTGAGACAAAACGTTGTATATATTAAGTCGATGACTTGCTCCCCTGTTTTCGGCCACTCCGTGGAGATATAGGAATACGGGTCTATCGTCTTGAAATTCGTCGTTTAGAACTATGCCTTTTTCACAGTCTTTCAATCGACTTTTTGGTAAGATGTGCCAAATCCCCACAGTTACCTCCTCTTGTACGTCCAAGAAGTGGTTGAAAGTACAATTGAGACTAAAATTCTGTGGAAAAGACAGGGAAGTAGGTAAAGGCCAATTGATAAAAGGGGCAAATAACAACTGACAACGAACCCAATTCGAATAGTATATTATTAAAGGGTACACACCAAAAATTAATAACCCAATCATCAAAACCCGATGTCCCTGCTGGCACAGCTGCTTTCCACTAGCTGCAGTTTTAAAGCCATGTTTGTACGGATGGGAGGGGATTCGTTCAATCTCACCTGAGTCCAGAGCCTCACTCGTAACACCGTTTGCCTGCCGTCTTTGGTGCATCCTGTGGATTTCTTTGATTCACCAGAGGCTAATAGAAATATAACAAAAAATGGTTTAAAAAACTTTGTCTTCAAAAATTATGGCCTGTTGAAGATAAATTTTGATTTGAAAATGTTGTTACTTGGCCTACCAGCAATTCCACATAATTCCTGCAATGACATTTATCTATCAGAGAGTTACTGACCTACCGCAGTTTCACATAATTTCCGAAATAATATTGGTCTATCAGAGAGTTACTGACCTTCTAGCACCACACATAATTGCCGAAATAACACTGGTGTGTCAGATAGTTTATTGACTTACCAGCACCCCACATAATTGCCGAAATAACTCTGGTCTATCAGAGAGTTGCTGACCTACCAGCAATTCCGCATAATTACTGGAATAAAACCAGTGCATACCCAATCGATACTGACCTAAACCTTTTAGTGGCCGAATTAAACCTGAATCGAACCTATGAAGGACTAAACTAAATTGAGACAGATTGGGATACATAACAACCAAACCTCACTGAACCAGACGGTTATAAGATTTATGCCAGTTTCAACAAACGTATGTGAGCCACGTGCGCCTAACTGTATTAAAAGTAAGGGAACGAGTGTAAGAGACAACAAGGGAGGAAGAAAACGAAATAATGAGTATTATTCATGTTGACAAATGGATACTAAGGTAACAATGAGACTATGAATGATATGACAGGGTCTTTTATTCTCAACGTGTAGTGGCCAGAAAATTGCTATTACCAATTGTTAGTGGACAGAAGTTAACTGTACTGGAAAGTTAATGAACAATAGCTAGCTGCACCAGTTGGTAGTGGCCAGAGGATTGCTATTACCAACTATTAGTGAGCAGAAGTTAACTGTACTGGAAAGTTAATGAACAATAGCTAGCTGCACCAGTTGGTAGTGGCCAGAGAATTGCTATTACCAACTGTTAGTGAGCAGAAGTTAACTGTACTGGAAAGTTAATGAACAATAGCTAGCTGCACCAGTTGGTAGTGGCTAGAGGATTGATATTACCAATTGTTAGAGGACAGAAGTTAACTGTACTGGAAAGTTAATGAACAATAGCTAGCTGCACCAGTTGGTAGTGGCCAGAGGATTGCTATTACCAACTGTTAGTGAGCAGAAGATTACTGATAGAAACTGCTAGTAAGCAGAAGCTTGTTGTATTAACTATTAATGGTCAGAACTTTCTAAAGCAGCTGTTAGATGGCAGAAACTTAGAGCATATTTTAAATCAGAGCTAGGTATAACAAATTTGATGTGTGTATATATAGATGTCAAAGAAATTTTGTATTCAACATATCTAGTCAGTGGAAAGACTATCCAGAAATTGTATTGGTTAATACAATTGGTTTAGAAAAATTCAAATCAATATTTAATCAACTATGACGCTTAGCACTTAAGTTAGTTATTTACATGTACCATCTTCCAAGTTACAACACAATGACTTGTTGATGTTACTTACTAGTTCGGATCTGGAGCGGTTTTACCAAGTAACAGTCTTAAAAACATTGTCAACCAAATACAGTAAAACTCGATTTTAGAAGTTCGTACAAAATCCAGACTCATTTCAATTACTCTTTTTTAATAAATTTGTTTGTTTGTACTTAAGCATAAAGCTAAATAATGGGCTATCTGTGCTCTGCCCACCACGGGTATCTAAACCCGGATTCTAGCGTTGTAAGTCCGCAGACATACCGCTGTGCCACTGAAGGGGGGGGGGCTTTTTAATAAAGTTGTTCTGAATTAGGAGAGGTAATTTTAAACCAAAATAAATTTTTAACGGTGTTAGTAGGTCAGATTTACTCAGTAGTTCACTTTCAGAAAAGTTGGATCAATTAATTGTGGTAAGAACCAAGCAGAATGACGTAATTCTTGTGAAAGATAGCAATTAACTTGATATTACAATTTTTGTATTTGTCTTCTGATAATTACTGATTTATTACAAATATTTCCAAAAAATTTTAGTGCACAATCAAGTATATTAACAATAAATAAATAAAAACTTCTCAAACAATTAAAATTATTCTTTCCAAGTACACTTATAATCGAAGTACTGACTGTAATGTTATGCGTTACTAAGATCTGATTACTGATATCAAAAATGGATTTGTTTAACAAAATTAATTGTTTATACAATGATTTGTTTTCTCATTTATTGTACATGAAGGAACTACCATGTCACAGAATTCGTACATTAATTAGGATAAGAATTTACGGACGAATTAAATATATAAAACTGGTTAACTGTTGTCAGTAACTCAGCTGTTGGTTCCCAAATAATTGGCTGCTTGTCTACTATTACAGAATTAAATAACTTAAAATTAACTTAACAAATTGCATTCATTGATAAAACAAGGAAAATGTTAAAAAGTAACTCGTGTGGATTACATCACCACGAACTTAAGAAAAAATACTGTGAAGAAACTTACTGCTTCAGAACGGTTGCGTAGCTTGTTTTGACTTGATTGCGTAGCTTGCTTCAGAATGGTGGAGCAGTTTGCTTCAAAATTGTTGTGTAGCTTGTTTCGCGACGGTTGCGTAGCCTGTTTTGACTTGGTTGCGTAGCTTGCTTCAAGATTGTTGCGTAGCTTGTTTCGGGACGATTGCGTAGCTTGTTTCGGAATGGTTGCGTAGCTTGCTTCAGGATGGTGGAGCAGTTTGCTTCAGAATTGTTGCGTAGTTTGCTTCAGAATTGTTGCGTAGCTTGCTTCAGAATGGTGGAGCAGTTTGCTTCAAAATTGTTGCGTAGCTTGTTTCGGAACGGTTGCGTAACTTGTTTTTGAATGGTTCCGTAGCTTGCTTCAGAATGGTTGAACAGCTAGTGATAGGGGAGTCTACACTGAATCAGTAGGCACAAGCCTTAGCGAAAGAACTCTAACTCTGGCGGCCCATGACTACCGCTCTTCAGAAACGAATCAGACTTTTGCTTCCCCCTTGGTTACAAGGAAAATTAACAAGGAAAACCTGCACGTCTTATAAGAAAATAAAAAGATACATCATATTAGTTCTGCAGCTGATACAAAAATAACTAATGTTGCAGTTAAGTCGTGTTATTAACTAGTCAAGCCTCAAACATTATTAGCATATTAAAAACAGTTAGTTTCTTGTTGTTTATACAGTTTGATATATGCAAGAGAACTTGTTCTGTAACATTCCAAAAATTCTTCTATAAGAAATATAACCTCGACCGTTTGTTTGTTTTGAATTTCGCGCAAAGCTACACGAGGGCTATCTGCGCTAGCCGTCCCTAATTTAGCAGTGTAAGACCAGAGAGAGAAGGTAGTCATCACCACCCACCGCCAATTCTTGAGCTATTCTTTTACCAACGAATAGTGGGATTGACCGTCACATTATAACGCCCCCACGGCTGAAAGGGCGAGCATGTTTGATGGGACGGGGATTCGAACCCACGACCCTCAATGCCGGGCCAGCATCTAGAAGTCTTAATAGTATCTGAACATTCTAGAGGCCAAAAATAAACTTTGATTCTTTTTAAATGTCTCAACTTTTTTAAATCCTAGAAGAAATACTTTGAGCTTCAAGTATCCTTCGCATTAACCGAATTCTCTCTGTAATTATTATATAATAACATAAAAAATACAGGAAAGTCGGAAAATTGAGAGATAGTAATTTCTAAACCCTTACATACTTCTCCTGTTGTTCTTTGTTATGCAGAAAACTTGCAACTTAAATACACATAGTTTGACATTACTGCGGAAAAAAAAAAACTTTTGCGTGTCCTTCTTTGACTAGAATTGCAAGTTTTTTCTTTCTCTCGAGTAGCCAGTACGCTTTAGGATAAGTATTGATATATGAGCGACTTGAAGTATGAGTTTTTCCGACTTCCCTATGAATAGATTAAACACAAATGATGTGGTGTTTAACTAACCGAAGTTGACGAAATTAGCGAAGCTTTAAGAGAAAATTCACATGTAAGACAAATAGTAGATTAGCAAAATGATTAGCTTTAGGTGGATAATGTTCCTGCAAAACATGATTAATCCGTTTAGTTTCACTTTCTCTCCTTTTAATACTACATATTACTTAATTATTAGTTTGTTCATTTAACTAAAGTAAAATATTTCAAAAGATTTTCTGCTTTATTAATACCAACTCTATTCTAATCATTGTTTGGTCCAGTCTGAATACATGTTTATAATACCAACTCTATACTAACCATTGTTTGGTCCAGTCTGAATACATGTTTATAACACCAACTCTATACTAACCATTGTTTGGTCCAGTCTGAATACATGTTTATAATACCAACTGGGAAACTGTCGTTTTCGTACACAAGATGATTTATCAGCAAGCAGGGAGTAGTGGTGTGCTTTTGATTCCATAAACTTATGACAGAGCCTTTTAAAATAGAAACTACACAGCAAAGTTGTTGTCAGGAAGCACTGCCATCAGATAGAGTATTACTGGCGATATAGACCATAATGAGGCGAGCCTCTAAAATCGTTTTAATACAACATACTCAACCTCTGTAAAACCGACCAAAACACGGGCTCTCCTCTTTTCAGCTATGGAATCCTATCGCACACGTTTGTCAATAAGCACTCCAAGTAGCCTGAAACAGTCGCTAGTTTCGAACCACCTCCTAAAGCAGACAAACAGATGAAAGAAAGTGTGTTTTAAGAATACACGAACGCGCGCCTATACACACAACAAAGACTGGATCAAGTAGCATGTGACATTATATTTGTAATAAATAGTGTTGTGTGATTAACAGATATTTCGCGGCAAAAGGAAGAAATGGTTTTCTTGATAGTTTACTTTATTGGTTTTGTTTGTTTGTTTGTAGTTAAGCAAAAAGCTACATATTGAGCTATCTGTGCTCTGCCCACCACGGGTATCGAAACCTGGTTTCTAGTATTTTATTGGTAAGGGTTTGCAATTAAATGCTCGCTATTTTAGTTAATTAACCCCCCCCCCAAAAAAAAACAACAGTAAATCATTTAAACACATATTCCTGTTCCTATATTAACCTACTGGCAAATCAACCATCTTGGATTTTTTCAGTCAACTATATCTGGAGCAAGCTACTGTCTTTTAGTTTTTGATAAACTGTTGACACTTTTTAGTTAATTTTCATTCTAAAGGATTGGTTGCTAACGAGATATTAATGGGGTAATAATATCAAAAAGAAATTTAAAGAGAAAAAAAACCCGGAAAAGATCTTATTTTGAGTGACCGAAAACAAGTTTCTAAAATATTGTTACGACAGCGGAATTCACGTGACACTGGTAACACGTAATGAGTATCTAGAACGTTCGTGAAGGCTCGAGTGTTTGCCAAGACGCCC